AGTGGTGGCAGTTTTACTCATTAGCAGTTAGCTGAATTTGTTCATTAGGCTCACCTTTCCCTATGCAGGAAGCAATTGCTACCATCTGTCTACAGCCTGCAGCTTTCCTTATCCCCCAAAAGGCATTGCTACAAAAAGCTAGTTAGAGAGGAATCAGTGCCTGCTTAACAAGGCAAGTCTGTTCATCATAAGGCAAAAATATCACTTTTGTAGGAAGCCTTTCTTTGGCTGCTTAGTTGTGTCACAATTTTATCACCAGTGTCTGCAGTTTTGAATCTATTATTCTTTCTCTCAATCTCAGGCAGGTGTGGTTGAATTCTCCAAGTTGGGAGCATGGAAGGATGTTCTCCCTTCCTCCAAAACTTTCTTCTTCCCAATCTTTTGAAAACCCACCTTTCTTTGGTACTATAACTTTTTTACTTTTCCCGTTTTTTCCATAGTTCTGATATCTCTGGAAATAACTCCAAGAGCACCCACACACCACATTTCCTACAATTGCCCCATTTCCTATTTCTCCATACTTTACCAAGTGTCCATTTTTGGTTTACCTTCATGAGACTTTTTAGCTCTCCCAGAAATTTCACATTTGAAATGAACACCAGTCATTTTATACTTTGTTTAACATATTCTGGTTTTAGGATGGAAATTCATTCTATAATTTTAAAAAGAGCAAAGCCCTAAGACAAAGATGATTAGGGGACTGGAGGCTAAAACATACGGTTGCTGGAATTGGGTATGTCTAGTTTAATGAAGAGAAGGACGAGGGGGGACATGATAGCAGGGTTCCAATATCTCAGGGGCTGCCACAAAGAAGAGGGAGTCAAGCTATTCTCCAAAGCACCTGAAGGAAGGACAAGAAGCAACGGATGGAAACTAATCAAGGAGAGAAGCAACCTAGAACTAAGGAGAAACTTCCTGACAGTTAGAACAATTAACCAGTGGAACAACCTGCCTCCAGAAGCGGTGAATGCGCCAACACTGGAAGTTTTTAAGAAGAGACTGGACAGCCATTTGTCCAAAATGGTATGGGGTTTCCTGCCTGAGCAGGGGGTTGGACTCGATGACCTCCAAGGTCCCTTCCAACTTTATCATTATTATTATTATAAGTTCATATGTAAAATTTTGTGGACAAAATATCATGCCATAGGCTTGATATGGTAGGATACTTCTTAATGGGATAAAAAAAAACAAGCGCCTCTTTATAGGAAAAACTAAGGCTTGAAATAAATTTCCTAGATCTCTTACCAAGTACTGCTTGTTATCTATTTATTGACTTCAAACTAAGTTTTACCTGTTTTTGAAGGGTCATCCTAAAAAATTATCAGATTACGATAGAGTAAATATCTCCTTTTGATTGAACTAAACATTTTTGCTTATTTGCTACAGCTCAAGATCAATTTTGAAAAACTGGTCCCTTTCCTTCCTATGCACTTATGTAATTAAAATATCAATCAGTCTTCGACTGTTTCCTATTAATTACATATCTACAAAATAATTCTTATATGGCATTGATAGCACAGATAATGTCCTAGCATACTTGTGACAAGAACTGATCCTATTTTTTATTCATGAATTCCACAGGACAGTGTTGAAAATCTATAGTAGCGAAAGGAAAACAAAATAATTTGGGGTTATGGTATTTGACTGTAAGTTCTAAACCACAAAAGCTCAGCCATGAATCAAATAGAACAAAAATATTCATGCTTTCTTTAATAAGCTAATATCAACAGTAACATAGGATTTTGTTTTTAAGCTCTACTTTTTTTACATGTTTATCTTAGATAAATCTTCCTGATCCCTGCAAACTAGCTTTTGAGGAGTCATCATATTACTGTGTAAAGATTTAACCAGGTAAACAGCAAACTTCACAGAAAAAGATACAACTAACTTGATATAATTGTATTTTTAAATCATTAATAGTTCTTCTTTCCAATAAAATAAAATTTAAAATTAATGCATAACAATTTTAAAATTGAAATCAGGTACACATTATGTCTCTCTCTGTTTTGAGAATAGTCTTTGTTTCACAGCTTTAATTCTCTATTGCAGGATCCAGTCTGGGTCAGTCACTGGGATTAGAGGTTTAATCTTTCGAACTTTTGGACTTGTTCTGGATCCCATCCACAGGGAACTTCTCTCTCACCAGAATGGTGACCGACCCAAATTGGATCCTGACACTTCATCCTGGGACACGTATATTTGCTTCCATTCATTAATTCTCTATGTATAACAGCATAATACTACAGATATAAGATTACACAAGTAATTCAGTAGCAAGTATTTGACAAACAGTAATATTTTAATATATATTGTGTGAATTTATCCCCCAGAAATTATCTACAATACAGCTCTTACAAGAATGAAAAGGAAGAAATGAGTTGAATGTGTACCTGTTTGTTGGTGTAGCCCAACTTTTCTACAATTTATAAAAAAAATTTCATTAAAAAGAAGCCTGATTTCATTAAAATAATTTAATTATATGTTAATGCTTTTTTTAAAAAAAAATAAGCATAAGAAATTAGGAGTATAAAATTCTGCACCCTGGTGAAGAAGCCAACATGGGACACCAGATGTTCGATCCATATGCAACGGAGGTTTCAAGAAGATGAACATAAGATAGGAGGAATAATTAAATAGCCAGCAGCCACCCTCTCTGGCTTTATAATTGAGCTGCTTAAAGGAAAATTTCTGGGGCATGAGATTTTTATATTAGACACAACAGTATTGCTACGTAATATCAGTATTCTTATGTCTAATAATAATGAGTACCGGTAGATATTGGTTTCTTTCAATGTATAAAATACTTTCTTACTGAGGGGGAATCAAAAGCAAATACTGATCTGTGCCTTGAATTCCCAACAAAATTAACATACATGCCACAAAATGAAGATCTAACTTTAAACAAAATGAACTTCTGCACTGGAAATGCTGGTGATTCAAAATACTTTTTTAATAAATTAAGCTTTCAACATGCCACTCTGACATCTACCACACAGGTTTCAATCTTTAAAATATATTACATTTCTCAGTCTCCTCTCTTACTATGGCACCTAATTTTAATCATATAATCACAATCATTCCATCAGACTTCAAGCTTCTGCAGTCTATTTTGTTCCCTTGAATTCTATCAACCTAGTATAGACTGGAAAGATACCAACTTGGGTAACTGAAGAATTCTAAGGTCAGTGATTATTTTGAGAACCACAGCTGAAAGTGGCTACCCATTCTCTCCCTTTCTTTCATTGCAGTCAATCAAAAGAAGCCAATCACTGACCTAGTCTGATCACCTGGAGATTTATCTCTTCTTGCTATCTTATTCCTAGGTTTCATTTAGTTCATTATTTTACTTTTGATATGCAAATGAAAAGGCAACCATGAATCTGTTCCATGATATAAAAAAAAATCTACCTAATGATGTTAACTAGTTTTTAGGGGCCAAGAGCAGCGCCATGGATTTTACAGGTTTTTCCTTCTTCCCTCTTAGATAAACGAAGAAAGAAAAGTTTCTGGATGTTTTTTGTACTGAAATATAATTGTACTTTAATAAAAATGCAGAAGCATTCAAACAGGTCCAATTAATATAAGAATCAAATTTATAAATTATGTTTTCAGATTTTGAGAATCTATTATTTCAACTTTTTGACCTACAGATTGTAGTTTATAATGTATGGCTAGTATCTAATCTTCCTGTCTGGCAGATATATAGAAATATTTAAGCAAAGATGATAACATTAAAACTATCTCCTATATCAATTTGGCCTTCTATTACATAATATCAAAATATGATTTGGCAAAAGTAAAATATTGTCAGAAGCCAATTTTACATGTTCTTTATTTTGTTTAAAAGATGTGAGTCTGGCCCTGAAAATTCACCATCTACAAGTCAGGCATTAATAATGATGAATTTTATTTATTATAATTATTTATTATAAAGTTTCTAATAACTTCCCTTAATAACTGCTGTTGTTTCCTCTGTGAGAGATTGCCTGACATGATCAAGCCAAAGTACATTAAACAATGCAAGTGAGTACTATAGCACTGTGCTCAAATTGAAATATATATTGAATAAAAAGTTATTCTATGAGTTATGCAGCTATTTTTTATTATGGGTATAGTTTTCCATTCTGATCATTCATTGGAGAACTGAGAGCCACAGCCCTTATAGAAAATATACAATATGCTTCACATATTTAACAAATAGGTGTTTACAATGCAATTCTCTAGGTCCATTTAGAATTTAAATTCTGCTAAATTTATTGGGGCTAATTAAGTCAAAGGTTTTAAACTAAGGTGGCTGCAATTTTAGGTATTATTACGCAAAATAAGACCCAATGAACTTCAGTGGGGTCTATTCCTTCTGAACAAAAATAGATAGAAGTGACATTAGTGCAGTAAAACTGCTGCTCTTTCCAATAAAACCTCCCATGAACAGAAAGACTTAATCTATAAAAATAAAAAATGAGGCTCCCTTCATAGTTATGAACTCTTAAAGAATAAAAAGCTACCTTAGAATACCTATAGCAACATTTTGAGAATATCTCTCAATGACACTGTAAACAGAAATTTTAACATTTATGCACTTTCTCAACAGATACTGAACTTCTTACAATTTCAGAGAAAGAGCCCATGCATATAACTATCCAATGCATTAACCAGTTCATCCATCCAGATCCTCTCTAGAGAAGGAAATTTTAAGGTTCATTTTCATTTTTCAAAACATCCAGCAGGAAAGATAAACATTCCAACAACTTGGAACTAATGGTTTATCTTTTAGTTCTATGGCTAAATTATGGTGCAGCATTAGGATATGCTGTAATTTTACTATGCCTAATAGTATGCAGCACTACACTTAGTAAGAAGGCTGAAGCGTTGAAAAAAGGGCATGCGTATACAAGTCCTATAGGTACAACATTCTCCAAAATACCGATCACCTACATCGTCCTTCCAGAATCCATTATAGGCCTCCTACACAATTGTAAATTATTAAAATTGTACATTACCTAGAAGATTCATCTGAGTCTTGCAGCTCTGATATGCAGATCCTTAGAAATATATGTGTGTGTATATATATATATATACATGTATTTAGAAAACCTACTCAACAATCTTGATTGGGCTTTTGGGAAAAGAAAACCTACTCAACAATCTTGATTGGGCTTTTGGGAAAAGCCCTTTCCCAAAGCTGATCCTGACATGTCTACAGGCTTCAGTCTTAGAAGTCTGCTCCATCAGAGGTTAATCTCTGGCTTCTTTGAACTAAACTTGAATGGCCTTTCAAAGCATGTGGGGAATCCATGCCTTTCCGGTAGGAAAAAAGACGCAGGACCTCTCGTAGCCCGATTTCAGATGTGGGGTTTGTTAGTGTTATTCTGTCCAAGCCCCAAACCATCCCCAAAATATTTCAAGCCCAGAGGAACAGCCGCGTCCCGCAACCATCCCCAGGTACAGCCGGATCACGCGATAGCCGGACAGCAAGGGAAAAGGAATCTCCACAATTATTATTATTATTTTTTTTAACGCAGAACACACAAGAGATTTGCTAGCTCCGGATCCCATGTCCAGGTGGATTTCCAAGGAACGTCCCCGGCCTATTTGATCAGAAGTCAAACCATCTCGGCTAACCCATCTCGGCGTTTTGCCCATTGCTAGTGCAGGTGCCCGGGTCCGCGCGCGCGCGCGCGCGCACCGTGGGAGACGGGGGGTGGGCAGGTCAAACGCACCGGGTGTGAAGTGGCCTGTTTCCCCCCCCCCCAAAAAAAAAAGTATTTCGGAGCGGGGCGGTGGAAGCTCTGCCCCCCTTCAGGAACTCAGCCCGGGGACATACCCAACATTATAACCGAAGGCGGCCAGGGCGAAGGGAGGCTCCAGCCTCGGCCAGGAGGGGCATGAAGAGGAGAGGCGAGCGGGGATGCCTCCCCGCCTCCGCCCGCCCGCCCGGGAATTCGCCAAGAAAGTAACTTCCCGCCAAAGGGCCGGCAGCAGCGCAGGAGCCTTTCCCGGCCCCCGGTGGGGGGGGAGACCCCCGCCTCGCCAAGGAAGCCAACGGCAAAGCCCAACTGGGAAGGGCGGGAAGCGGCGGCACAGCGCGGTAGCCGCAGCCGCAGCCGCCGAGCCGGCGGGGAGGACGCTTGGCAGGCGCCCGCTTGCTCGCCGCTTCCGCAGCGCCCCCAAGGACTGCCGCGCGAGGCGGCGCAGGGGAGGCGGAGGGACGACCCCAGCCCTCCTCCGGGGAATCCTCCTCCGCAGCATCCTTGTGGCGGAGCGCGGTCGTTGCTGCTCGGGCTTCGTCCCCCCGACGCCGGTTCCGGCTGCCCCTCCCGCGGCCTCTGCCCTGCCCTGCCCTCCTTGTCGCCCG